TAAGTTTTCGGTGATCATAAGAAAATGGGGGGAGGGGGAGACATGGTATTTAAAGTGAGACACACAACTGATTTCCTATGGAGATACTGTCATATTTTTCAATGTCTGGGTTTTTTTATCCACATAAATACATAGGACAAAAAACCTTGTGTGTCAAACTTTCTGAATTGAGATACAAGGCAAAGGAAGAGTTTTCTTCTGTGTGTTGAATATGCTTATTCTGAACTTCACCCAGGAGGGTAGTTTCAGTTCCTGTATACTTTGTAAAACCACAAAGTCACCTGGGAAAATAGGTAACCACACAGTACCATTCAGGGAATCTACTATCACGCAGCTCTCTAAGTATTTTTTTTTAAAAAAAGTCTAGGATTTATTTGGGGATTTGTGGGCTTGGGGATTTTTCTTGGCATCCACACAAATTCTAGAACGTAAGCTAGAAAGAACCTTCCTGATCTTCCAAGCTAGTTCATCCTTTGGAAGATGAACAAATAGACTCGTGGAGGCAAAGGAACTCTCTTGAAGCCAACAAAGGCAGTGCAGTCCAATGGGCAGACAGTTTGATGATATGTATCTGAACACCAGCTTTGCCACTTATCATCTCTATGACACTGGCCAAATCAGTTCACCTCAATTTCCATCTATAAAATGAGAAGGTTGGATTTGGCCTGTACAGTCCCTTTCAGGCCTTCACCTACAATCCATGCTTAAAAAAAAAAAGGAACATGGTATCAAGGAAAGACTACAAATCCTAGAGGCAAAGGACCTGGATTCAAATCTTCCCTCTGATGCTCACTAGCTGTATCATCTTGGACAAGTCCCTTCACCTCTGTGGGTCTATTTCCTAATCCATAAAATGAAGGAGTGGCACTAGATGGCTTCAGTCTAATTTGACACATAACTTATGATCCTACAATCTAAGAGGCAGAACTCAAACCCAGGTCTCTTGCCAGTCTAGCACATTCTCTCCATGGCACCATGCAGCCACACCAGCCTCAAGAGTTTTCTAGACTGTCTACTATGCAGATCTCTAGGTCAAGAATCCAGCTCATCTTCTCTCATAACTGCAGTTCTCAATGAGCACATATGAATTACCCATCTTAGATATTAGTCATAAAAAATGCTAAATCCCAGGCCAACTTTCACGTGCTACCCTGGGGGGATCTACATGGACTCCCATCCCAGGGCTAGTGCATACACAAGGAGGGATAATTAATCGCCAGTCAAGTGAAGCAAAGAAGAATTAGCAGTGTTAATCTGGTCCCACCAGCCCGCCCCACCCCCTTAAACATAATGAGCTAAATCTGGGATTGTACCTGCCAATAATGTGGACAACCATCATATATAAAGATGATGTTATCTACAGACCAACTGCATGGAAGAGTGAGGGGGCTGTCAGGAAACATGGGTGCTAGTGGTAGCTCCGGGTGACCTTGATTAGGCTGTAATCCTGGAACTGTAGAGTAGGGACTGCGTGACCTTAGCCAAGTCACCTCCACCCCCAGCCTATGTAAAAGAGGAGGGGAGAGGACAAAATATAGGTCAGTGAGCTTGCCTTGTAGCCCTGGTGAGGTAGAGTACCAGGCCTGGAGTCAGGAAGACCTGAGTTCAAATCCAGCCCAGACACTAACTAGTTATGTGACCCTGTCACTTTTCTCACCTGTAAAACGATGACAAACCACTCCAGCACTTTTGTCAAGAAAATCTCACTGGGGTCACAAAGAGGTGGAAGTGACTAAAACAACTAAACAAAAAGGAAAGGGATGCTCAGCTGACATCTGCCGCATTCTAGATGGGCACGTGTTGGTGATGCTGTGGAGAGGGTTCTCAGTGAGAGGTGGGTTAGACTGTATGGTCAGGGAGGTCACTTCCAACTGAGAATCTGGGATTCCAGCCACATCTCCAGGCCTTGGCTTCCTCCCTTATAGAACGAGGGCTGTAATGGGATGAATTCTACAGTTCCTTTCAGCTCTAACACTCCATAAGTCAATGATACCATCCTTCCAAACCTTTACTCCTCTTCCTTGGCCATCAGCTTCCTTCATCCCAGTACCATGTGACATTCAACCAATAAGCATTTATTAAACACCTACCAGGTACTGGGGATAGAAAGACAAAAAGAAAATAATCTTTGCCCTAAAGAAGCTTATGTTCTATTGGAAGAGACATGTACATTTATGTCTAAATTTATATCTCACTCCTTCTCTGTTTCAGGATCTGGCCAAGATCCATCTATAGGCTTATGGTTATTACAAGACTCAGAAACCTCTCTTTCACCTTGTTCCTGAAATATGACTTACTCTAATTGAACGGGTTTTCCTCTTTCCTTATGCAGCTCCGCAAAGTCTCTACCAGGATTACTCCCCTTGATTACAACCAATAGATTATGAGAAGAGGAAGGAATAAGGAACTTCAATTCCCCTACTCCTAGTTTCTTAGCATTTAAAGCTAGAAAGGCCCCTCCTGGTCATCTCCCCATTTTACAGATGAGGCATCAGAAGCCCACAGAGATTAAGTAACTTGCTCAAGGTCACACAGTTCTAAGTGGCAAATAGGGCATTCTCACCCAGGCCCTCCAATTTCAAACCCACTAGTTCTCTATTTTGCCCTATTTGCTTAGATATTAATTAAGCGTTATCAAATGTCCACTTTTAGCATTTTTTTTCTCTCCAGGCTACTCTCAACCTTGTCCAGGCTTTGGTCCATTAAGTATCTCCCCTTGACTACTAAAGAAATAAAATATTTTCTACTCAGAAATACTGCAGATGACTTCTCAAGTCTTTCCAGCATCCATAATGATATCCCAATAACAGATTTCCCCCACCCCTTTTCACAAGGAGACCCTGATACCCCACTGCTAGCCTCCAACACGTGCCAGTCAGCCAGGGCACAGAGCTACAGTGCTGTCACGCTTTCCCTTGATGTGTGCCAGCAAAGGACGATGGGCTGTTCCTACAGTTACTGCTGCTCTGACTCAGAATCATCTTTATGCCTTAATGAGGCAGCTATGCCAACTCTGTTGCCTACATAAAGATAGCATGAACACCAGCTTTCACAAATGCCTTGGATTTCAAGGCTTCCCTGCAGACAGCTTCATTCTAAAGCACCCACCTACACTCCCCACCACCACCAAAAAAATGTCACCCTAGGAAGTGACCGTGGCAAACTTCAGAAATAGCCCTGGATACCTCTTTCCTATGGCAACCTCCAGTAACAGACAGTTGCTATCAACCTGAAATACTCCAGGATAGGGAGAAAGGCCCTCAAGGGGATTCTGCTCCCAGGGCATCTGTGAATGCACACAAAGACTGACACAGCAACCTGCAAAGTAAGGATGAGATCTGGAGTTGGGGCCCCCAAGCCAGAGACTCAAAGAGAGAGTTCACCTTTCCCTTTAACCCAATCACCTCCAGGTGATGGCTACCCACTCATTTGGACCTACAGGTGTCAGTTAAATGCAGTGATCCAGCCCTTCCTTCAAAACTTCCTCTAACTCTAATAACCTGGATAACTCCCCTAGGGAACATTTTCCTGGCACTCAAAGCCTTCTGCATCTCTGAAAGTAGGAAAATCTGTTTTAACCAGGTCTGCAGGGGGATATACTAAAGCATGGATGGGGGGGGGGAGTCTTTATGCATAGCAGGGTTTTCTCTCAAAAATCGGAGGAAAATAGGCAGCAAAGATCCCTCCCCAGCCACTCCCTTCATCTGGATAAACCCTCTTTCAAACAGAAGAGGAATTGCCCATCCCAGCCCAGGCTCTTCCTTCCTTGCATACATTCCACAGACAGCTCTGTAACCTGCCTTCCCTTTCCAGGCAGGCTGTCATCTAGACGGGGGAAGTTTTTATCAAGGTTGGTAGAATCCGACCTCCTCCAGCGTTTTATCCCAAAGGAGTCTGGTGGCTGGCTGCCTTTCAGAGTTACACAGTCATGCCCCTCCGAGCTTCTGGAGAGCATGGCTTTTCCCCAACTCCAAAAACTGAATACCAAGTCCTGAGGCTAGGCCCCTTTTAAGCAATTTAACGTCAGTCCTCAGTGAGTTGAGAACAGGGCCCCTTTAAAAGCTGACTGAGGGGCAGCCAGAGGGCATTCAGCCCTCTCCCTCACCAGGTACTAAAACCCCCTTTGCCAACCTTTCAAAGGGTCACTGACATTCTCCATCAAACCACCTCCACCTGACCTCCCCAGAAACACACATAGATCTCCTTTCAATCCTCACTTCCCCCAAGAGATAAGATCCTTGGGCTCTAACTTACAATGCTTTTAAACATGCCAAAGAGAAATAATCGAAAATAGAATTGGGAAACACCTGGAAACCCATCCCACATTGGAGAAATCTGTAATGAGAAGGAAAGACCTGGGGTGTGGGGTGTGGGGTGTGGGGGAGAAGGTCTAACAGGACTATTGGGCACAGTCCTGTGCTGCTAAAGGGATGGGAGGCAGGATAAAAACTGAAGTTAAACTACCCCTCACCGGACCCGGGGATTCTAGGTTGGGTAGTCAAGGCACAGAGAGACAGAAAGGAGTTGAAGGGGAGTGAAGGTGAGGATGGACACATGGTACCCCCTCCTTCAGTTCTGATCACGCATATGGGGGGGGGGATCGCCTTCTCTCCGTTCCACTTTTTGCTGGGAATCACGTACACTGGTCTCAGCATCCCTACCCAGCTTCCCCTCAGCTAAGGCTGAGAAGCACCTCGCTGCTAACTCGGACCTAGGGCACGATAACAGCTTAGCCCAGCCAAGCTCATCAGCCAACCCCCGCCAACTTCTTCCAGGCAGGGTAAGGCCCCTCTAAACCTTGGTGAAAACTTGGATTTCTCCGATGCAGGGTGTCAGGCTCCACTTCTCTACCCCCTGGGCAAGAGAGCAGCCGGAGGTGTGAGTCACTCCCAGGGGAGGGGGGGAAGGGGCTCGAAGCCCCAGGTTTGCTTCCCAAAGGTAGGGGATGGGGGGGGAGGGTGGCCATAACACCACCAACAGCCGCGGCGCCTCCTTCTCACCTGGTCTGACGGCCTTGAAGGTGACGGACTCCTTGCAGCTCTGAATAACTCCCAACACGTCGTAGCGGGGCAAGCCGGACACGCGAACCCCGTGCACCTCCAGCAGCAACTCGCCCTCGCTGAGACTGTTGCCCTCGCCGCCGCTGGCAAGCCCCAGCTCCGCGTCCGGCTCCACGGAGCCCACGTAGGGGAACTCGCCGTACTCGGCTCCCCCCAGGACGGTCAGCCCCAGCTCGCCCTGGGGCCCCCGGCTCAGGGTGCACTGATGCACCTTGGTGGTCCAGTGATTCTTCTTCTGGATGACTTTGGACATGGTGCTGGCCGCGCGTGTGGCGTCCACTCACCCCCTCACGCCCGACCCACACGCGAGTGCACACGCACAGCGAGCGGACCCGAAGATACACAGGAATGCGAAACAGGTGGCCCAAGACAGCAACAGCCCCAGCCCCGGCCCCGAAGATCAGCTGGGGCGCAGGACGGGCATGTCCCCAGAGGGCACCCCCAAAGACAGAAGCATAAGAAAGAAACTTTGCCCGCTCGCCCTCCCCCAGCTCAAGCCATCCTTAGGCAAACTTTCTCAGCGCCTCCGGGCTCCCGCCCCAGCCCGCGGCCAGCTTTGTTTGCATTCCAGTCCCGGGAGATCCACGCTTCGCAAGCCGGCCCGGAGCGCCCAGGGACCGCAGCCCACTCCGGGCTGGTACCTCCCTCCTCTCCCTCTCTTTTGCCTCTCTGTGCGGTGGTCTTCCTCGCGGACGCTTTCCTCGGTCGCGCTATCTCCCGAGGTAGGTTTCAGAAAGGGCCAGTCTCGCTGGACCAGTTTCCCCAGAGCCCAGAGCCCGGCTCTAGTGGAGGGCACGTCGGAGGGGAAGGAGGCGGGAGGGAAGGGACCGCGGCCCCTTTAAACAGCTACAAAGGCTCAGCTTGTTTTGTTACATTTCATTCTATTCCGTCCCACCGAGCTCCACGACCGGCGATAGTAAACGCGCGCGCCTGCGCCCTGGAGCCGCTAACTCCTTCCCTGCCCCCTCCCTACGGAGGAGATTCCAAAGTTCTTCCCGCTGGGTCCTAAAGTCGCTCAATTCTCAAGCGCAAACTACCCCCCCCTTCTAATGCTTCGGTCCAGCAACTTCGAGACGGGCTTGTGGTTTTCCTTCCCCTTCCCCCGTCACCCCACTTCCCAGCTCAGTGTCTGATTTCAACTTTTTTTTTTCTCTTGTACCTGCAGGATTTGGAATGGGGTTTAGCCTGGGCCAGGCTCGGCGGCCGGGGTTTGGGTCCCCAGCGCCGCTGGACAGGCAGACCAGGATCCAGAGCGCAGGCACGCCGACCCTGAGCCTATTAACCTCCCCTGGCCAGTGGCCAACCCGGCTGCCAGTCAGGGAGCCGGCCCAGCCCGCCCCTCCCTTTCCCGCTTGGACTCTGACTCCCCGAGGCCAGCCGGGGAGGCGTGGGGACTGACTGCGCAGGGCTGGCCCGACGGAGGACTGAGCCAACTGTTCTGCCCCACCAGCGAAGGACCAGACGCACTCCGCGAACCCTAGCCTTGATCTCCTGCCCTTAAGGGCAGGCGGACCCGGGTGGCCTAGGCCTCTGGCCGGGGTGGGTGGCTGAGCTCTGCTCTTCTCTCTCCATCCCTGGGTGGGGTGTGGTCCCCCTGGGGACCAAAAGGCGAGCCCTTCTGGGCATCATATGAGCGTCACATATTGGTAAATGACTTACTTTTTAAAGAGTTCCAAGAGCGGTGGAGAAAGCCCTGCATCATAGAGTCTAGAGACCTGAGTACAAATTCTGACGTGGCTGTGTGATCTTACTGTGTGACCTTAGGCAAACCACTCAACTATCTGGGCCTCAGTTCCTTCATTTGTAAAATGAGAGGGTTGGACCAAATCATCTCTAAAGCCGCTTCCAGGTTTGATCCTAAGATCCTACCGAGACTTTGGAAGAGTGATAAAGAAAATGCATTTGGGGAGAGTTTGAATTTTTAAACCCTTCGGTTCAGTAGCAATTCTGCTATTGTCTCTGTGAGACCACTCTGTCCACGGTGACCCAGGCTTTGCTCTTTGGAACCCCTGGGTTGGAACCCCTGGGTTACTCAATCATTGGAGAAAGTGTTTTCCTGGCTGTTAATGAGTGTCCCAGGACTCTGTAGACGTAACCTGTAACATAAGCAGGAAAAAGGCTAGTCACTCTGCTTATTTTCTAACCATTCCTGCCTCTCAGGTACCATTCTTACTGGCAAACTGCACTAGCAACTCACCCATCATCTTTCTATGGTTTACTCATCTCTGCTTCAGAATTCTTGCCTCTACAGGACTCTCCAATGTTATAATAAACTAATTTCTGTTGCACAAGTTCCCAGCAAGAAATCCCAAGAACCAGAGGAGGCTAATTTCCAGACTCACAAGAAACCCCTAAACTGAATGTACAATCACATTTTCAATATTGGAGGGATTGAGGAAGAGATTAAAATATTGAAGAGGAAGATGTTTGATAGAGTCATCTGGAGGTTCAATGGTACAGAATGTTGCCTTATATATGCTCTCTCTTGGACATTATCAGTTGTAGATACTTTTTTTCCTTTGTTACAAGAAAGGTTCAGTTTTGAACAAGAAAATCTAGAAATGACTGATGGAAAAACAAGAAGCATCAGTAAAACTTTAAACATATATATACATATACCTAAATGTTCTAAATGAAAAGTTTGCATCAAAAACCCTAGAGATCATGTTGAATCATCAAAAAAAAAATAGCTAGCATGTGTATCTTGCTTTAAGGTTTATATGTGTTAACTCATTTGATCCTTACAACAACCCAATAGGTAAAAGCTATTATCCCTGTCTTACAAATGGGGAAACTGAAGCTCAGAGAGGTCAAGTGAATTGTCGAGGGTCACACAACTAGGAAATATCTAGTCAGATTCTACCTCCAGTCTTCCAGGCTCCTAGTCTTACATCTGGCTTCGTGGTGCAATCAATCAGCATTTATTAAGCACCTGCTATATGCCAAGTACTGTACTGGGGATACAGAAAGAGGCAAAAGACAGTCCCTGTCTGAAAGGAGGTTACAATTTAATGGGAGAGACAATGTGCAAGCACATATATACAAAACCAGCTATATACAGATCTAACTGGAAATAATTAACAGAAGGAAGGCAAGAGCATTAAGAGAGCTTGGAAAAGGTTTCCAGTAACAGATGGGCTTTTAATAGAGACTTAAAGGAAGCTGAGGAAATCAATGTGGGCAGTTGAGGAAAGGCAACCATTCCAGGCATAGAGGATAGTCAGAGAAAATGCTCAGAGCTGAGTGATGGAATGTCTTATTCGTGGAACAATCAGGGCAAGTGTCCCTGGATCAAAGAGTATATGCTGAGGAGTTAAGTATAAGAAGACTGGGAAGGTAGGAGGGGGCTAGTTATAAAGGGCTTTGAAGGTCAAGCAGAGAATTTTGTATCTGATCCTAGAGGCAATAGGGAACCACTGGAGTTTATTGAATAAGGGAGTGACATGGTTGGACCCACACTTTAGGAAAGTCACTTTGGTGTCTGAGTGGAGGGTAGACTGGACTTGGGGGTAGACTTGAGACAGGCAGACCCACCTGAAGGTTATTGCAATAATCAAGTTGTGAGGTGATGAGAGCCTGCATCAGTATGGTGGCAGTAGCTGGGGATGCAAAGGGACATATTCTAGAGATGTTGCAAAAGTAAAATCAACAGGTATTGGCAGCAGCTTAGCTATGGGGATAAGAGATAGTGAGGCAGCTGGGATGACTCCTAGGTTGGAAGCCTGAGGGATGGGTGGGTGGAGTAGCCTTCTGTGGTAATAAGAAAGGTAGGAAGTAGGGAGGATTTAGGAGGAAAGATAATGAGCAAGGTTTGGAACACATTTTGTTTAAGATGTCTACTGGATATCCAGTTTGAGATGTCTGAAGGTCAATTGAAGATGCAAGATTGGGGGTCAGCAGAGAGATTGAGGAGAAAAAGGTAGGTTTGTGAATCATCAACATAGAGGTGGTAATTAAATCCATGGGAGGTAATGAGAGTTGTTCCAGTAGAAATTTATACTGTATATGAGGACCTGGGTTTGAATCCTAACCCTATTACTCATGACCCTCTTTGACCTCAGAAAAATCATTTCACCTCTCTGGGCCTCAGTGGCCTCATCTGTAAAATGAGGAACTTGGACAAAACAGTCATCCAAAGACCTTTTCAGTTCTACGTCTACGATCCTTATGAATAGCAAATAGGTAAAAGCATCCTTTTTGAAAAGTGAAATTCCAGTACTCCAATGTTATGTCAACACCTTTGCTTTAGAATACAAAATTAATACTGTCTTTGCACATATTTCCATATTTATTAGGTAACTTGCAGGAGGACCTCATTAAAACAACACAGAGTGAAAATGAAAAATCAAGGCTGGGAAGATATTGCCTTTAAATCCTCATTCCCCCCCCCCCCTTGGGTTTGATGAAAAAAGAAACTGGCTGGTTTTTTGGATTTTCCTCATGGAGTTGGGAAATGGGCCTCAGGTTCCACCTGTCCATCCCTAGAACCCAGAACTGGTTCTAGAACCATTCACCTGGCTTGACCTCACTGCTTCAGGTTGGCCCCCACTCCCCTACCCCACCCCCACCCCCAAACTGGAGAGAGGTGGGTTTTCTTGAAGTCTGAAGGCTCCTCTGGGGCTGCTTCCTAGCTCTACTGTGCTCTTGCCCTCTCCTGGTTCTCCTTAGTCTCTGCAGCCAGGAAAAATTAAACCAGCCTGGAGAAAAGAAACAGAGAGAGGTTCCAGGCATAGTTTTCATCTAAGGCAAAGAAACAGTGATGAATGAGGAAGTGGAAACACACAAGAACTTCGGCAGCCAGATAAAAAGATAGGGGAGGGAGGCAGGCATGTAGGGGGAGAAAGAAACCAAAAAGCACATAAAAAGTAGCCAAGGCTGCCTATTTTAGGGCACTAATTTTGAGATGTTTCCAAATGCTTCCCCATCCTCTTACTTGGCTTGCCTTCTCTGTTTGCTCAATGGGAATACTTCCTCTGACTAATTCCCATCTGAAAAGTGGGATGGGAAGTCGAATTGCAAAGTAGACAACTTTTGATGCAGATTCAGTGTCCCGGATCAGCTCTGGAGCCAAAGAATAAGAGATGGCATTTATATAGCTCTTTGCCATTTGCAAAGTCGGGAGGACTACGGTTCAAAGCCCACCTCAGTACTTACTAGCCATGTGACTAAGCCAGTCTCTTAACCACTTTATAAAAGAGAGAGTAACTCTAAATGGATGATCCCATGAACCCTCAGATTTCCACACCTGTTTCCTTATCTGTAAGTCGTAAATCTGATGTCCTCTGAGGTTCTCTCAGGCTCCAGATCTATAATCTGGAGTAGAATCATGGAGTCATGGGTCTAGAGTCAGAGAGGCCCTAAAGGTCAAATGGTCAATAAGCATTTATTAAGCATATGTTCCTGGCATAGAACAAAGCACTAGATAACTTTCAGGGCCATCAAGCCCACAACCGTCATTTTATAGAAGAGGAAACTGAGGTCCAGAGAAGCTAAGTTGCTTACCCAAGGTCACACAGGTAGAATAAGAAATTGAATTGAATTTGAACCCAGGTCTTCTGACTTCAGAGCCATCCCTCTGTCTACCACACCACACTGCTTCCCATTTGTAGGAATCATAGATTTAGATCTGGAAAGTACTTGAGAGACCACCTAGTTAATCCCTTCTCATGAAGGTAAGGGACTTGCCCAAGGTCACCTAAGTCAGTTCTAGAGTCAGATTCAAACCCAGACCCTCTGATTCCAAATCCAGCACACTCACATATATTATGTCCTTTGATTTTCACCATAACCCTGTGAGATTGTACTGGAGATATTTTTACCTCCACTTTGCAGCTGAGAAAACTAAGATTAAGTGGCTTCCCCACAATTATACAACTATCCAGTGTCGCAGGAAAGATTCAAACACCTGGCACCCTCCACTGCACTGACTGCCAAATCTGACCATGGTCCCTTGAATAACCTCGCAGGAAATGTTCCATGGCCATGTTCTCGATCTGCAGTGTGGTTTTTTCACAAAGCTACCCTGGACAACTGGACGTGCCTCCCTTTGGGAGAAAGCTTCCAATGGAAAATTTCTAGTCAGATTCAGCCTA